ATTATATATATATATATATATATATATATATATATATATATATATACATATACATATTCCCAATATATTTTGTGGCAATGACATTTTTCTCCCAGAACTGAGCTTATTTTAGTCAAATTTTTGTTTGAGTCACGACTATTTAGACTGAAAAACCAAGGTGTTTGAATATCAATGGGCAAATCAAATTCATAAGTGTGAGAAAAATGAATTTTAAATTTAATTTAGTCCAGAAAATAAATTTAGTGGTGAATATTGTACTGAAATTAGAATTAAGCTAAAACGTTGATGTAAGACTCTTTCATAACTATCTAAATATTCATGATTGAACATTTAAATAGTGAATAATTTATTATGAACGACAACAATAGCAAACAAAAATTAGGAAGGTTACTATTTTGATATCGGATGAATAAATAAATGTTAAATCTAGCTTAATTTTTAAAATTAAGTAGCTTAGAAAGTAAAAATTTTTCAATTACATGATTAAAGAGATCAACATAACTTATCATGTGAAGTATTTAAATGTCAGTTCAAAAAGAAGAAAAATTGATTATTGAGTAAAAAATATTATACTCTATTATTTAAATAAAAAATTTAAAATATTAAAATTTAACGAGAAAATTGTGATTCATCATTACTAAGTATTATGATATTGCGAATTACTAATGTTTAACTTGATTAAGGATATAACAAGATAACTACTACATTTTTCTCCTCATTTAATACTTTCATTAATTTCGAATTGCAACCTAATTAAGAGGGATTTTATGTGTAGCATCATTTGTACATAGCTTCTTCCTTCTTATTCTTTATTTTAGAAAAAATGAAATTTTTACTCCGCTAACAATTTTAATGATAGATATTTTTATTTAAAAAAAAATCTTATAAAAAAGACATAAAATTAAAAACAAAACATAAAGGGTTAAGAAATCATTTCTCCCTCTGACAAGTTACAAGAATAACGATATATTGAGGAAAAAATTGTGATAAATTCGAATTTTTTTATGTGAGTAAGATGTTATCTAATAAAGTGGCTCAACAAACTAGATACTCTATCAATTAAATACTCCACTTATTTAACTAAAATGTATTTTTCAAGACCCATAAATATATATATTTAATATGATATACCAGCTATTAACTTCCTTACACTTTAAGCGTAAAAGTTTAAGTTATTTGCATTTTTATTGAACATAATATTTTAATTTTAATTTTTTTTGGATGGTAAGATAATATATATAAAACATTAGTGAATTACAGAGTTAGGAGGCCTATTGGCCTATACATTGTTGCCATAGTTGGCTAAAACATAATATTTTCATCAAGAATTTTTCTCTTTCTAGTTTTGTTAGATTTATTTTGAGTCAGTTCGAATTAACTTTAAAAAAAAATTATAAAGTTAAAATTAACTGGGTTTAAAGTCAAAAAATAAATAATAAGGGGAAATATTTTTTGATCTTTAAACTTATTTAAAGTCATTTTTAACTTATTTTAAGTTTTTTTTATTATGTTTGTCAAGTACTTCCAAAAGTCAAAAAATGACTTAAAAGTATGTCTGATCAATTTTTAAATAGGTTTGACCAAATTTATTTTAAAATAATATTTTTTAAATAATTAATCTGCCTTTTAAAATTAAGTATATTAAATCTTAACTTTGGTTTTTAAACTTATTTTAAGTCATTTTTGATTTATTTTGAGTTTTTTTTTTAATATTTATCAAATATTTCCAAAAATAAAAATGACTTTAAAGTAGGTCTAACAAAATTTTAAATAGATTTGACCAAAATTATCTTAAAATAACATTTTAAAATAACTAATCAGTCTTTTGAAATTAAGATTTAATATACTTAATTTAATTAAGATTTAATATACTTAATTTTGGATACACCTCATTGGAGTGTAAGTGGAGAAATTTTCATGACACGAGAGGTGTAAGTGTTTGTTTTAAAATATACTCCGGTAATTGTGTCATATTATAAGGTGTTTAATGTAATTAACTCTATTTAAAATAACAAAATCAAGTTCAGATTATATGAAAATTTGACCATTTGGATTTATTTTTTACTTTCTAGAAAAGAACTATTTTGATTTTGATGTGTGCTTAACCTTTGAGCTATAAATTATGACGTGATAATATTCAAGGCAGAATTTGAAATATTTCTGTATATAAACATCACGACGCAACAGGTAATAATAATAATAATAATAATAATAATGTTTATAATAGTAATTATAAAGTCAATTACACGATTGACATAATATTAAGATCAAGAATGCAAATCTTGCGATGCATCCAAAATAGGGATAATTTCATATTTGGTCCTTTAGTTATTGTTGATTTTTTATTTTACTCCTTTTAATATTTGCATAAGCATATTTTTCTTCAATTAATCAAAAAACATGTATATGTGATCCATTTATATAAGAAAAT